AGAGAGATAAACCAAATACATTATACACTGCCAATCTCATTTATTAATGAATCATTGCTATTTTCTGTTCCTGTTTTTAGCAGCAAATGATTTCCAACAGACACAGCTAAGTTAAACCAAATTCTAAAGAACAAGAAAACGGACAAACAGACCCAGAAGCAAAGATCTTTCCCAACCAACTGGAAGGTAAGGAGATAAATTTGGAGGCGATACCCCGCGTCTCCCAAAGAGGGCGCCACCACCGCAAGCTCCACACCTGGACGGGGTGGAGGGAGGAGGGCGGCCTGAGCAGACGCCATACCTTGGTCTGGAAGGTGCAGAACATGTGCGTCAGGAACGGGTGCTCCCAGGCCAGCGAGAGGACTCTCTTCTCCACCATTGTGCACTCCACGTCGTCATCCATCAAGACCACGTCTTTCTTTAGGGCTTTTATTGCAAAAAATTGATTGGTCTTCTTGAACTCTGCTAGGAAGACCTAGACGGAATGGGAAGAAGTGGCTTTATTTTGGAAGTTGGATTCCCACTCATGAAAAAGAGACAAATAAGGCCGGGCGCGTGGCTCAACCGCCTGTCATCCCCAGCCACTCCTGGGAGCCGAGGCGGGAGGAGGCTCGAGGTCAGGAGTTGGAAACCAGCCTGAGCAAGAGCGAGACCCGTCTCTACTAAAATAGAAAGAAATTAATTGGCCAATACTATATATAGAAAAAATGAGCCGGGCGTGGTGGCGCATGCCTGTAGTCCCAGCTACTCGGGAGGCTGAGGCAGAGGATCACTTGAGCCCAGGAGTTGGAGTTGCCTGTGAGCTAGGCTGACGCCCCGCACTCACTCTAGCCTGGGCAACAGAGCGAGACTCCGTCTCCAAAAAAAAAAAAAAAAAGAGAGAGACAAAGTCCTGAGACAGGAGAGCTGATTGCTGGGTGGAAGGGACGATTCCTCCTCCAGTCCCCTCCATCCTGCAGCAGGATATTCCCGAGACAAAATGAACACGTCAGTGGTTTAGGATATTACCTACTACTAAGCTTTGTACCTTTCCGAGGGTTTCATAAAATTATTACGCAATTGGATGGGTTTTAAAAGCGTGCCCTGCCTGCCCAGGAACCTGAGTCAGTGTGCAATAACAATTCAGAGAGACAACGTGCAAAACGAAGGAAGAAGAGTAGTGGAGAGGAGAAGTTGTTTGGACTTGAAACATTTCTGTCAATGCACACACTCAGCTTTAACTTCTACCCAGTTTCTCAAGGCAAGAAGAACACTTGAGGGATAGAGTTCTCCCCGCCGACTCAGAAAATGAACACCATTTTTATCTGATGACACTGAAACTGATAACATTTTTGGGACCTACTATATGGCCTGGGGCATTCTGCTGTGGACTTCGTTCCGCTATGGACTTAAAATTAGGTGCTACCTGATTTTATTATCTGATTTAATTCTCAGCCCATCACACTCTGCAAGACAGGATATCAATAATAACAAAATTGGGTTTAAAAGAGTTACTTGCTCAAATTCATGAGCTACCCGGAAAAGAAAATCTTAACACCAAAGTTTACTTTTTCTGCTTGCTTTCTTAAAGTCCTTATATCAAAAGGACGGCAGATGCAACGTGCGATGCGAGGTTCAACAACGCCCGAGTTTGCAAATGACCCAGCGGCACGCCGTTGGCCATTGTAAGGACGTGGCATTTGGATACAGAAAACTCCGGCTCCGGTTTTATCCCGCAACACGCTGCCACGCGCGGAGAATGTGACCAAACCGATCACCCCCTCTGGGCTCCAGTTTCCTAATCTTGACCAGGGATTAAGGAAATTTACAGAATGACTGTGAAAATCAAATGAGATCCTGCCTGGGAGGGGAGAGTATAAGTGACAGTTATTAAGAATATTTTGCTCTTTTTTTTTTTTTTTTTAATTGACTCTCAGGAAATGCTGAAGTCAATGACACTACTAGTACTGGGACTCGAGTGTTCAGCGTTTAAATACAGCGGACACAGAGCCGGTGCGTGCCAAGCTGGCTGGACAGAGGCGAGGGAGGTTAGTGGACATTCAGCAGATGAAGGATGCTCACGGCTCTTCAGAGAAATGACAGATTGTTCTCCGGCTTAATTCAAAAGTAGAATTAAGGGGGGGACAAAGCGGCGATGTTCCCCATAGTCACTAGCACAGATCTGGGAGGACCGGGGCGGGGCAGAGTTGCCGGTAGTGAGTTCCCGGGCAGCCAGACGCACCGTCTTCCTACCATAAAAACTAGAAAGATTTAATTGGCCAACTAATATTATAATTAAAAATCAAGCCCGGCATAGGTGGCTCTAGCCTTTGTAACTTGTCCCAGCCTACTCGGGAGGCTGAGGCAGAGGATCACTCAAGCCCCAAGGAGTTTCAGGTTGCTGTGAGCTAGGCTGACGCCAGGCACTCACTCTAGCCTAGCAAGAAAGCGAGACTCTGTCTCAAAAAAAAAAAAAAGAAAAAAAAAGAAAAAAAAAAAAGTAGATTGAGGCTAGGAGAACAGAGACCGGCATTTTGGTAAAGAACGATGCTTTCTAACAGAGCCAAAAGAGAAAGGAAAGGTGAGTTCTCGTCTCTCGCTGTGGTGAGAAAGGGCGATCTTCTCTCTATCTTTGGTTGCCTTGTCCTCCCTCCTGTCCGAGTTGGGAGAGCCAGGGTCCCATTGGGAAAGAAGGGGACCCCTTTGGACACGGAGCCAGGAAACCTGGAGCTCCGGCGGTCCCCTTGGGACGTTTGCCAAGCTTGTAGGTTTGAACATGATGTCTTCTTCTTAACTCGTCAGATGTAGAGTCCCGCAAGGACAAAAGAAAAGATAAACCTTCATTAACAAGTGAAAAGTCCTCTTTTGGTAAATTGCCCTCTTTCCGTTAAAAAGACATCCTAAAGCAGCCATAGTAAAACTAACCGCAGGCCCCGAAAAGGCAATTTCCTCTATGTAATTGCTTTCAATTTTTTGTAACAGGTTATAATTGCCACATTAATTGATGCTAAGTTATAATGAAAGACTGGC